ACTACTTATATATATATATATATATATATATATATATATATATATATATGCGTTCGAAGGGTTCAAAGTACAAAGCGGCGTATGAGACTATAAAATGCGGATCTTGATAAATAAAATAATAAGAGCAAGATCGATGAAAAATGTTATTAAATACATAAACATCTTGCGATTAGAATTATCGTGCGAGCGATAAAGAGATAATTATATCTCTCGAACAGCTGATTTCGTCATTGGTTTATCCGATTAAAATCTCGCTCTCGTAGGAGGAAGTTACTCGTGTCCGCGATTACATATGCTTTGTTAAAACATTCATGAGTCACGTTTTCGCACGTTTTCGACAGAATCGAAATGAGTAGAACGTACATTCCGTTGTCGTTTCACCGTCGATTCCATTATCAGTTGTGTTTCAACTTGTTCGACTTTCGCGCATAAATATCATTCCGTTCTAGGTTTCGCAATTTGTGTTGCTTATACTTACGATTTTATTTTTAACCGCGACGGTCATAATTTTTTTCTACGTAAAATGTCACGTGATTCGAGAGTACGACGCGGGGAAAACCGCCATGCCAGAAACAAAGTTGCTAGAACGAAGCTAGAATGAATGTTAGACTTACCTAAAAGATGACGAAAAGAACAAATCAGAATTTTCGCGTCCAAAACTAGTTAACGCTAAATTTTGTCGTAGTGAAAATAGGAAATTTAATTTATATCAAATTGTATTACGCGAATGCTTCCTTTGTGGAATGTTGAGCGAGATTCGTCTTGAAGCGGCAAATAAACATAGCCCCTTTCTTTGTTCAGAATGAATATAGCTTCGAATATCAACTACTTTCAAATTGTATATAATTCATAATGCTTAAGTCCATTCTAAACAACCTGTATTTCGCAAAAAACTCTTTAAATCTTTAAAAAAATTTTTTTTTAATTCAATGACTAATAAAATTATATTTATATGCCGTTTTTAAATAGTACATATAATTGTAACGATATTCAGAGGATATCACAAAAGTAAATTACATATATTCTTTTCGTATTCATATTTGAGATATACATTGTATTATATAAAAATAATATTTCTAAATTTTTTTTCCTATAGTATATATAGATTATTCTAATATATAGGATGTATTATTTTGAGAAATATATATATATATATATATATATATATTATATATATATATTCTTATATATTTCTTTAATAATACTGAACATATATATTAAATGTAGACATATTTCTCAGGTAATAAAAACATGATATATAAATATTACATGATATATATATATATATTTTTTTTTTCACTAATGTCATATATAATTTTTAATAGCTTTAATTTGTAATTAATTTTATATAACATTTCGAATGTAAGGAATTTACTTTTACGATATTCTCTAAACATTTTCAAAATCTACATGAACTATTAGAGCTATTATATTTTTTTTATTTACATATAATTCTGATTTTTCAAATATTTTTCATCATGAAGTCATAAGATTCTGTCCTATATTTCGTAAATCCTAAAGATCACCTAAAACAGAGAAAATCCTAAATAAACAAGCCTAATTTATATTCTAATATCATAAATAACACAGTAAAGATAACTGATATTAAAATATTTACTGACAATTTAATATTTCTCTAACTACATGATGTGGAAAATTTTCAGTCTACCCAGCGAGAGAGATACGGCATAATAATTTTATTCTAAACAAATACGATCCTGCGACGAGAACGATTTCCGCGCGATATGATTGGTCGTCGCGATCACTCAACAGTGTGTGCGCGCCTGAATGTGCACGCTGTCGATGGATTAGTGGTCGCCGAATTGCGTATGATCGCGCGAGCGTCGCCGAACATTGCCGAAGGCACGAATCGCGCACCAAGCCGAGAAGGGTAGGGATGATCGCTGAGGTTGTGGCGATTCGCCGTTCAGCTGTCGATCGGTCGGTGTCACCTTCTGAGATTATTGTCTATTCACGAGAACGCCCAAACGTCGGCCAACCACGCGATAACATAACTGCGCGCAACTTGTGTTGTGAAACTACGTCTTCGCTACATCTTCAATTCGCTTTGGACTGACGGGGTGACGAGGTGTTGTTGGAAGCATGAAGGAATTTCTGATCGCGCTCAGCGCGATTCTGGCCGGTGAGTTGACGTTCTGCGGGCGTTTCTCGTCCGCTTCTCGGCGGGCGATTTTTTTTTGTCTCTCTTTCTCTCTGTGAACGATTAGTCTCTGCGTCATGCCTGTTATCCGTTGTCAGCGCGTCAATTTCGACTTTGATGCGCATTTCCTCTCGGAGTGCTTTTTGTTTGGCGCGTGTTCGCGCACACATAATCTATATTTGTACTTCAGTGTCGTAAACATCGCGATGTTTAGTTTTATCTGCGAGCGATATTTAGCTTCGTCCAATCGAGAGATGTTTAGCTGCCAATGTCGACGACCTCTGAATCCATCGAAAGTCCTTTTTCCTCTTTTCCGTCTGGTGTGGAATTCTCTTCTGTGTCCTCCCCTCCCCCGCTTTTCTTGTCTTTTGTTAATACGGTCTTTCTGTCTCGCTCTCCGTCCTTCTCGTGCCGCCGGGTAATCATGTTTCTGTTACTCATTGCAAAGGAACTCTAGTTTCTAGGATGACTCAGATGATTTGAGCTTGTAATTTATTAATTTAGATATAATACGCCATTATTGATGCAATATTGCTTTGTGACAATAACATGATAATGTATTGATAATGCTTGTCATCGAATGATTGATAAGTGTGCTCTTTTGACGAGAAAATAATGTCTTAATTTTTAGTATGTGCAGCTCACGTAGTGATAACCGCTGAATCTAAAGATGATGGTCTTTTGGGTAGAGACGAATGTACGTGGGGTCCAAGTTACTGGTGCGAGAATCTAAAGTAAGTTTTAATAATTCTTTAATTCATTCTTTAATTTCTTTCTTTATATTA